GCCGCCAGCCGGTGGCTCCGCACCAGGAAGCTGTGTCCCTCAAAGAAAATGGAGTGGGCCGCCAGCCGGTGGCTCCGCACCAGGAAGCTGTGTCCCTCAAAGAAAATGGAGTGCACTTCCGGGGCCGTGCCCAGCCCGATGACGTGCCAGTGGACCACTCGGTTCTGGCACAGCTGGAGATCTGCCAGGAAGGGAAGGGAAGGGAAAGGCACCAATGAGACCCACGCAGCCCTTGCCTCCAGTCCAGCCAGACCCACGGCCGGCCCCCGACAGCCGCTGAGCTCTAGGGACCCAGGTGCTTAGCACCTCCCAGAGCTGGCCCTGTGGGGTAAGGACTGAGCAACAGAGGGACTGATCCTCCAGCCAATGGGGGCTTTGCCACTGACTAATGGGAGATGGGGCAGGCCCAGAGTAGGGACTTTATGTTCTGGGTCGCACCTGGAAACACTTGCAGTAAGTACGTACATACACACACACACCAGCTGTGTTTCACACACTCACACTACAGCTGTTTCACACACAGACACACACACTACAGCTGTCTCACACACTCGCACTACAGCTGTTTCACCACAGACACACACACTACAGCTGTGTTTCACACACACTACAGCTGTTTCACACACAGACACACACACTACAGCTGTCTCACACACTCGCACTACAGCTGTTTCACCACAGACACACACACTACAGCTGTCACACACTCACACTACAGCTGTTTCACACACAGACACACACACTACAGCTGTCACACACTCACACTACAGCTGTTTCACACACAGACACACACACTACAGCTGTCACACACTCACACTACAGCTGTTTCACACACAGACACACACACTACAGCTGTCACACACTCACACTACAGCTGTTTCACACACAGACACACACACTACAGCTGTCTCACACACTCGCACTACAGCTGTTTCACCACAGACACACACACTACAGCTGTGTTTCACACACACTACAGCTGTTTCACACACAGACACACACACTACAGCTGTCACACACTCACACTACAGCTGTTTCACACAGACACACACACTACAGCTGTCACACACTCACACTACAGCTGTTTCACACAGACACACACACTACAGCTGTCACACACTCACACTACAGCTGTTTCACACAGACACACACACTACAGCTGTGTCTCACACACTCGCACTACAGCTGTTTCACCACAGACACACACACTACAGCTGTGTTTCACACACACTACAGCTGTTTCACACACACACCAACCCCACCCACCCACTCACCACAGCTGCGTTTCACTTTCACCCCCACACCAGCACCCCAGCTGTGTTTCTGCTCCATCCCTAGTGGTCAGTGCTGGATTGTCCAGCGCCCCTGCCATATTTTCTCC